CTTGCAAAGTTTTCCCTCTGCCAGCCCTGCTACATCTGCAGCTCCATCTCCCTGACAATTTGCAAGCGTGCTAGTGTCCTGCTAACTTATTTTGAAATGTTAGTAAGAATAGTCCATTAACATTTCTAGGAAACAATTTCATCTCCTGAATTATGGCAGCAATTATTGATTTCTTTAAATGTTAACTCCTAAATGTTACAGAGGTATCCACCCTTCGTTTCATCAGATGCACTGAAAGTCATTATTTAGACAGGCTGCAATTATTTTTTGCAATTAGGAAATTTCATATTGCCTAAGGTTGGATTAAACTGATCTTCTGCCCTTATAAATGAAAATGGTAAATATTACTGTATTACTGTTCACATTTTTGGAGGGTGAGAGGGAGGAGAATCTGAAGGCCTGAATCAAAATCCAATAGAGTTCAAAGTCCAGATTCAATGTTATGGCAGAGGGATGGAAACGTATAAAATAATAAGGGAAGATGTGGTCACTCAAAAGAGTGAGGCTACAGAGCAAATACCTCTTGTCATGATTACTATTAATAGGGACACTTGCTAATAGCTTTAGCAAAAGTAGCGAGGCTTTAAGGGGTTTGAAGATGAACTTAGTATCCCATCCTTCTAAGGCAATCTTGGCAAATAGATTTCAGTGTGACAATTCCTGCATTCAGTCCGTTCTCTGTTATTCTACAGCCATGGCCCAAAAAGACCAACCTGAATTAGTGATACCATTAAGTGGTAGGTTCTTGTTGTAGCGTATATATTTATGTAGGCACAGGCACACACACATAGGTAAATATGATATTTCCCATGTTGTCCACTTTTACAGCCCCTCACTTTTTCCATAGAAATTTCAGGCGATGCTGAAGGATTCTTATTCTAGAAAAATTCTAAATCTCAAGTATGCAGGATCTGTTTTAAATATGTATGTGATTTTTGAATGTCCACCATTAAATTGTTTCCATAATACATTTTGTGAGTATTCCAAATGCTTAGCTTTTTTTTAATGTGCAAACTTAATTATTTAAATACAGAAGACTAATAAAAGTGAAATCTGTTGTATGAGTGAATACAGGTTCAGGCACACAGTTTTGCAAGGAAAATTTTAATGTTAAAGCTCAGGATGTCAGAGGAATCAAACTCACTTCTATTAAGAGAACAAAGACAGATTTTGTTGAGACTAGGTGGGTTTTTGCAAAGCATTTGCCTAATGTGGACCTACAGGAAAATCTTTGGAGCAGGCACAAAACTTATTGTTTCAGGTAAGTTTTTCAATATCCAAGAAAATATAGCTTATCTTGATAAAATCTAGAGGAGAGAGGATGGGTGCAGGGGTGGGGTGGCTCAGGCTGGTGGCTATGAGTCACTCCATGGCCTCAGGGCAGGGGGAACGGAGAGAAGCTACAGGGGCAAACCTTGGGGCTACTGCTAAGCCCCTAAACTGTGGCAGAAGCTTTGCATTTCTCTGTTTGGTTGGGCTGGAGACCTCTCCCTGCGGATTTAGCCTAACAAAGCTGATTTATTGCAGCCCAGGGGAACTGAGCTGTCTTTGATGCACCTTCACACAAATTAGTTGCAGGCATGCAGTAAATAATCATAAGATTAAAATGCTGGGGGAAATCCTGGGCCTTTAGAAAGTGTTGCCGTTGATTTCAGCATAACTAGACTTTCATGTAAGATGCACAGTTTTCCCTGTGGAGAAGCTAGAAGGCTCTGGGGAAGGACGCGCACAGCAATGACCGAAATGAGTGCTCATTGATAGCATACATAGATGCACGCTTAACGTTGCAGTCTCGGTATTGCCTTCCTGCAATATCGTCAGTGTTTGGGAAGGCAAGTATGGTAGGAGATGAGGATGAATGGGTCTGATCCCACATCCATTTAAGCAGATTGTGGTAACTTCAACATGTAGAGGTTTAGACCCAAAATGAGCTGTGCCCCTCCACTTGGTTGGTGAGGAGCTGTGGCTGCTCAGGACCACCCAGCTCCAATTTTCTGTAGCTTTCTTCATTAATTCAGTTAAAAGAGTGGTTTAGAGCATTTCTTCATTCACATTTAAAACCATCTTATGTCATAAGACTCATTTTTTCCTCTAAATCATGGAATGAGCAAATGTAATTGTTCTCAATTACAATGCCAGTAATGTGAAAAGATCTAAATGCTCCTCCCCATTACCTCCATGAAACCTACCCTCCACAAGCAGAACATTTTCTTTTTAGAGCTGCTAACCCCAAATACTCTGTGCTGCAAAGCAATTGGAATGGAATGCTGTGTAACATGGTGTGACTAGATTCAGCTGTTGTGTGTGCCTGGACTCTAGAGCTAGAGACGGCAAGTAACAGTCTGCATCTCAAAGGTGGAAGTCATTTAGCAAGACGATGAAAATGAGCTTGACTAGCTTCCACATCCCAGAATCTTTAAAGATCTGTCTTTAATCTTTAGTGACTTCACTTGACTTTAGTGACTGACTATATGGGCAAGAAATAGCGGACCTGGTGAATACTGTGAGCACCTCTAGAACAGCTCCTCAATTCTGATTGAGGACAGGGGAGTGGAGAAATGAGGAGAAGGGTTGTGTTGTGGTTGGGTTGTGTTTATTCCCTGTGCTGCTCCAGGAGAGAAAAACGGAACTGCTTGGAAGTGTACAGAGCAGCTCTCAGTGCAGCAAGTGAGAAATGCAAAAGTTTCTTGCTGCTATGGAGCTGGTTCAGTCTCCGTTGACTGGGGAGGAAAATTGCCTGGAATGGCACAGATTTGCAGCTCCTGGTTTCCTTTTGTATTTGCATTCGTCCTAATTGTGCTACAGTTGTGCAGTCGGTAACACAAATGCCTATTTCAGCATGGAGCATGTAGCAATACTTAGTGTGTTGCCCAGAATATGAAAGATGTTAGCTAGGTGACCGTAAATATGTCAAAATGTAGAGAGCAGAGGACAATCCAACCAAACTGAACATGTTAGCCATGCCTCTGATCAAAAATGTTCTGTTAGAATTTGCAATGAAATTGTATTTGTCGAGAAAGGTGGTGTTGCCAAAGAGAGAACAATGCAGAAGCTTACAAAAAATGCATGAACAAAGTTAAAGACATCCTAGGGCTTAGTGAGTTCTGTTTAGACGGTGGGCTTGGCATTTAAAACATAGTCTGCAAACTGTGAGTTTGCTGAAATCTTTTGCCTCAAAGATTCATTAGTTATTACAGAGCGTTATGTTGATCTGCAACCGGAATGAAATGTTGCGGCACTGGCACACATGCTTTCAGGTATGTTTGTCAAAGCGTTCTCAACGCTTAGGCTTGCTTCTGGTACAATGAAGTGAGGGCCAGGCTGAAGTACTTGCCACATGGAAGGACTTCACAAGATAGGCAATCTTAAGAAAAAATTGAGCTACCTGTTTGTTTAAATCAAGAAATAAGTTGTGAATTGTCATTGATTTGTAATGTGTTGTTTTAGGGTTGCAAATGTTTCTGAAAAGCAGAAGTGTTTTGTGTCTCTTCTGATCATAGTTCTCCTTGGAAATATGGCGACAAATGGTCTGTAGTAGTTTTCCGTGCCCTCACATTTCAGTGGAGAAATAGACATAAAATTCATTAAAAAGGAGGGTTGGGTTTTGGGGGTTGGAAAGAGGCAAAGAAATGTAAGTAAGGTTTAGAGCTTGCCTTCATTTTCATATTATACAATTATTTAAATTTTAAGTTTTTTTTAAAATAATGTGGACAAAAACACTCACCATCCCAGAATAATTTAACTAGCTTTCTCTGTTGCAGAATCAAAAAAAGCGGAAATATCATTGCTCAGTTGATGCCCCAAATAACAACGGTTGTGTTTTATTTTGCTTTTTTAACCAGTGGCAGCAATTATCTTGAAATGGGTTTTAAAGTACATATCACTAAGGGCTCTTTGGGGAATAGCAGCATTAGCTGAGATTCAATTCAGATTTTCTATATACTTGTAGCCAAATGAATTGACTCTTCCTATTCGTATGATTTTTGTAAAAAAAAAAAAAAAAAAAAAAAAAAAAAAAAAAAAGAAAAGAAAAAAAAGAAAAAGAAAAAAAAGATGAAATCTTTGTCTGGTCAATGTGTTGCGAGCAGTTTCTGTAAGAAAATGTGTGTGTGTGTGTTCTACAAGATATTTGGTACTGGCACAAAACTCGCCATCTCTAGTAGTGTTTTAAAAAACTATTTTGTAAGTTTTGTAATGGCAAAGCAATGGAGCCAAGGTTGACAGCTCTTTAAGGTACGTGGAAAGACTTACGGTGGGTCAGGAGTATGCTATTTTATTATCTGTGATGATATCAGAAGTTGCTGGCAAACAAGACAAGAATGTTGCATATAAACTCAATGCGCTGAGTGCCCTCAGCTCCCACTGCCATGAAGGGACCTGAGAAGCTCTCAGGATCAGACAAAGTTACTCCATTCTGTGGGACCATCCAAATAACGAGAATTAAAATCTGAGCTTAAAAAAAAATAAATTTATTTCTAGATGTTACTTATAAATATTTATACACAAACTGTAGGGGGGACTTCCTTAGAAAAAAAAAGGATTCCTAAAATAATTAATCTATTTAAATGTGTGTCTTGAATCCCAATAAATAGCTCATTAATTGCAAGCCTAACTCCAGAGCTGTATTTGTGCAATATTGTGCAGTCACTGCCTTATTACAGCAGAGAAAACACAGATGATTGATAGCTTATGAAATAAGTACAAATTATATGTGCATGCTTATATATCATTTAAAAAGACCTGTGTACCTATTTAGACCTGCCTTAAAAAACTGTTACATAAATGAAACAGCAAAATGCTTTGAAAGTTTTACTAAAACCAAAAGGAAAGTGGAGTGTAAGTTCATTTTTTTTGAAATCTTTCAGAAAGGCTCAGATCATACGCTCAGAAAAGTCAGCGTAAACCATCTTATTGACATCAGTGACTTTACAAACCAGCCTAAAGATGCATCAAAAGCTACAGCCAACTCTACACATACATGTACATCCTTTTTTCCTAGGCATACCTACAGTTTATAGGTGTACACACTCACACACAAACATATATATACACACACACAATTTTATACGTAAAACTTAATTTGTTCAGTTGTTCATTGTTATCCAACTATCTGTACGTGCATATGAGACTTGCCCATGCACGCACATGTATGCAGCTGTTCAGGCACTACATTTTGCTTGAAGCTTGTACATAATTACATGGAATCTGGATTTTCTCAATATAGTGACATAATTTAGATGTTTTATTTAAGCTAATCATTTAGTCTTTTTATGGTAAATAGAAAGACATTGGCATCTCCAGAGGGGGAAATTATCCTATGTTAATAGAAGTCTCTAAAATAGGCATGATGAAGTGCCAGCTGGAAGCATCTCGGGGTCTCTATTCAGATTTGACAATCCAAGAGAAAAAAAAAAAAACCAAATTAGACAATTACATTTTAGCCTACTAAAATTAGGCAGGGCATCTTACTGAGCTTTGAAAAATCTAAAAGAAACACCTAAAACAATCATGAGGTTTTGCAGAGCAGTGTCACTGGGACAAGAGCTACATCATGCTTTCTCAAACATTCACATCTCTGGAGCAAATACATAATTTTGGAAATGGTGTTAATCTTGCATCCCAGGGAGGTTCCGGTGCATACAGACGATAAAACTTCTGTAAAGCAAAACCCTTTAATGCTATGGGACCATAAAATTGTTAGCAATTTTATTTCTGGGAAGAAAAGAAATCTCAGTCCACATCTTATTTTCAATGACATATCTCCAAAATGAGTGAAAAATCATTAATATAAGGATTATCTTTTTGAAGGTAGAAACTCTTCGCTTTGGTTATCTTTTCTTTTGAGCAGTAAGTTCGAAATACTTGAAACACTCTCCTGGTAGTTTCTTACGGGGGATGCAATGTGAAAGATTACTCTAAAATAGCCCAATCATTTTAAAGAAAAGTGAAAGCTTTTTGCCAGAAATTATATATTTGTACTAATGTATTTCTTACAGTGCTTGGAAACTGTGCCACTCAGTCAAACTCAATGCTTCTAGCTGCTGAAATACGGTGGTGGAGATTTACAGAGGCATCTAGAGGGAGGAAGTGGTGCAAGGAAGTGAAAACTTAAATCTCTCTGCTGCCTTAAAAGTCAGCCTTTAGCAGTATTTTCTATACAACAAAAGTCAGTTCTGAAATCCGTATTTAGCTTCCAATCATAGTTAAGTGTAGATGAAAATAACTGCCCAGAGCACTAGCTATACATGCAATGCAGAAGTTTACATATTTAACCAAAACAGTCTTTTACAACTTTGCTATCCACTTCTATAATATGAAAAAGTCATTTTTGTATGCACAAAGTCTGGCTGATTTGGACTCCTCCTAATAACATAAGCTTTATTCAAGAGGGGCAAATGAGACAGAGATTAACTCTAAGCTTGTGGAAACAGTTCGCTATTCATGGTAAAACGTGCTCGATGTTCGTACGTTTGTATTGAGCACATTTCTGAAAGCGCATCACTTTCTAGAATGCTGGTACAAAAATATGCTCTTTCGCTACAGAAATATTATTTGGATATAGAACGTTCTTCTGTTTTGTTTTTTTGGCTTTTCAGTTATGTCAATTCATACATTTATACAAACCTAGCATTAAAGTAACAGCATTGTCAAGATTCCTAGTGTAGAGCATTTTGTGATTCCATATTCCTGTCTTTATCTAGATCATTACCTGACCAACACACACAATTCCCTCAAAACCAATGGCCAAAACCCACAAAATTAATATCAGATTAAAAAAGAATTATTTAGACATAGCAGATCTTCATTAATTAGCAGCGTCTTAAATGGGGACATAAACCTGCAAAGATGTGACAGCTAGGTAGGCCCATTTTTAATAAGTTATAGACAAATTTTCCATTTAGTTGCCGTTGCATAAGGATTACAAAGCAATATTAAATTCCTTGTGTGACATAAATAAATGAACAAAGTTATTCCAAGAACTATTACTATTATTTAATAATTGTCAAGGACTTGTGGAGACAAATATACTTTCTGACAGCTGTACCGCTTGGAAGGCTGTGTGGTCTACGCTGTCATGTAGTTCCCTAAATGTTTTTTTAATTCATCTTGAAGGGAAATTGACTATGAATGCCTTCACCAATATTTCAGCTGCTTAACATGAGTCTCAAAAATAATTTTTCAAAATCCTTTTGAAGAGGTATCTCAGGTTTTAAATAATCAGATTTAAATTTATTTTTCTAATAATATACTCTAGAAATTTTTTGAGATGCTTTTTAATCTACTTCATACAACCTTTAATTCTTTATCTATCAGATGTCATTTGTTTAAACTTCAATTACACAAAAGGCAATTTTTCAGAGACAACAGAACAGATCTCATGTTTCTTCAAAAATTTCTGATTTATTGACATACGGTAGACAAGATGCATGAAAGAAGCATAGTCTGGATATGAGCATTCACCGAGCAGTTTTAAATTTAAATGCTGTTTCTCCACACACATGGAATAGTATTAAAGTTTAGACTGAATGTTTTCAGGGCTCTGTAAACATCTGTATATTGTCTAAACAAAAACAAGTTTACAAAATTTGGGCTGCGTCTTGTCTTCTGATTTTGAGTTTGATTTGCTGTTTTTACTCATAAAAGCCTCTGTTCCTTTTAGTTTTCTTTCAAGTGACACATTTAAAGACAAAGTTAAAAGTCTTATTTTGTATTCTCAATCTTGTAACTGTTTTGGAGCAAAAACAAAAACCTGCTAGGTGGGTTCATCCAAACAGTATTTCGTATGAAGTGTATATGAATGCCAAGTCAGAGAGTCCATTCAGCTCAACCAAAAACATTTTTAGTTCAAAGACAGAAACAGCTGAAATTCACACATCCTATTATTCCTTTCGTACATGGGACATTTCTATTCCCCTTCTAAACATTTAATAACAAATTAAAGAATTAAAATGTTTGTAAATAAGACATTTAGGTTGCTGTTCTTCAGAATTTATATTGTGCAGCTGAGTATCCGACCTGAAAAAACTGAAAGTATATCTAGGTGAACTATTTCTATTTGTACACTACTGACCTTTCAACTCTTAGTTTTGTTTGTTTTTTTCCTCCAAAATCAAATCCAGATAAAGGATATACCGCACCAACCAACTTTGAAATCCTGAGTAGCGAAAATGAAAATAAGCTGACCTATGTTTGCCTTGTTGAGAAATTCTACCCAGAAGTTATTCGGGTGACGTGGACTGAAGAAGAAAATAAGGAGGTGACAGCTAATGTAGTAAATGGAGAGGTCTGGAAATCTGCAGAAGATGACCAATACTCTATTGGCAGCTGGTTAACCGTACCAAAAGAGAACAAAACCAAGAAATATTCTTGCAAATATGAGCATGAAAGCAAAGAGGATTCACTTGCCACCACTTCCACACAAGGTACATACTACCTTTTTAAAACAGCTATTCTCCATATTATTGTAACAGGTATTCTACATATTACTATAGAACTCACTTTTTCTTTGCAATAAAATTATATAAATAACTGAGTGCATTAGTGCTCCTGAAAGGGGCTGTGCTCCTTGGCGTGACCACAGCCAAAATGTACATCAGGAGAAGGTACGGCCAAGGAATAGCCTCATGGACGCATCCCTGAGCAGGGCAAAGGCAAAGCTATGATTTAGGGCAACAAAACCTATTTTACATGCATACGGGCATTTTTGCCTTCCAATTTCTCTCTACAAATGAATCCTACTTGTAAACATGTGCTCTGAGATGTTCTTAAGTGTCCACTTTTCTCATGTTTCCTTTCCTTGAAAGACAGCTCTTAAGCGTCCATTTTCTGGTTTAATAGTATCTTCCCATTTCACTGTTGCTGTACGGCCTCTTCTTTTCTCTGTTTCTCTATTAATGTTTGTTAAAAATTAACGAAAAGTCTAACTCGGATGTTTAAACTCTCTTTCCATTAGATCTTACAAAGACTGTGGAGGAACAGGACTGCAGCACATATTCTGGAAATAGCACAACAATTTTTTATGGAGGTAACTAAAATGTATTTAAATACAGGAACACGGTGCATGTCATGGAAGAATTAAATACTCTTATACATGCTCACAACATCATGACAATAATCCTTCTAAATAGCCTACAGGCAATTTTTTAAGTTGCTGGGGTCTGCAACTTAATAATGATTAAACATTTTGCAGAATTAACCTCTGCTGTGGGTTACAAAAAAGGGTTATCCTGCCTTGACTTTTATTAGCATGCTACAGGTGTTTTTCAGGCTAATGTACTATATTCTTAGCCCATATTAAATGGCGACTTGAGTTATTTAAAACAATGGCAAATGCTCAAAGCACTGCCCGGCATTCCAGAAAAAGAAACTTTCTTTCAGTTTGAATAGGGATTGAGGAAAAACTTTTAGGCGCTCATGTTTAAAAAAATCAAAAGGATTGGAGCAAACACAGGATTACCCATAATCAGTGCTGGAAGCACTAGAATTATGTTCTTGCCTTAGCAGGGAATAATAACCTAGCAGCATTCAGAGAAACAGTTCAATTCTAAGAAACCTGCTTGACATCGAACTCGTTCAGTGCAAACCTGCTCAGAGGAGAGGCAGACACCGCATTTGTTTATACAGTGTTTGCTGAAAAAGCAATGTAATTGCAGCAATGCAGATACTACATCATCTCGGTTCTACCCATCTTTTAGGAGGCTGCAGAATATTGATGGTTAAACAAGACTTTTCTGTGTTTATGTTTATTCCAGATCACTTAATGCACAGGACGGCGTATTTAGTGTACATAGTCCTTCTTCTGAAAAGCTCCATGTATTACATCATTGTACTCTTCTTCATATACAGAATGAGGACTCCAGCTAAGCACCATGGAAAGAAAACATAAGATAATGATTTTGTAAATCTTTTCTAAACCAGCAGTTATGTTTTCTTTGCTGTAAGCTTGTTAAGTTTGCTTTGCTGTATACTTATTCATATGGACAGCCCTAGCTCCTAGTGTTACATATAATAACAAAAAAACCAAATGGATTTTCTATCACTAGTGCACATGGCCTGTTTTGCTGTACAGCTAGCAGTTTTATATCAATCTCTGCTTCTCCTAATTTTTCTGAGTATTGAAATGGCAGAGGGCAAGAGGAGTAAGGTTACATTTCTAGCATTTTAATAGGAATTTAGTATTGCAAAATAAGGAAAGTCCTTGTGTTAAAAATAGTTATGCATGCAGAAAAAGTTTAGAGGTTTAATGGAACTTTTGATATTTAAAGCACAGATGCATTTTTTCATAATGTTTAAGGCTTAATTAGGGGCATTTCAGTGCTGTAAAGTGACAGATATTTGTTCTTTTGACTTATAGTATTTGCCTTATATTACATATTGCTTTTAAAAGATTCCATTAAACACAACATTTTGAAATACTGTGTTTGTTTTTTTTTTAAATGAAGATTAATGAGCATAAAAGCAATTCTAAGGTGCACACCTACATAAATCTCAGAAATTCACCAGGCCACAGACCAACACTGTTACACAAATTTTAAACCTGAACACTGTATTTTTAAAGAAACAAAACAGTTGTAATGATCATGAACATTATCTTATTTAGAGAAACCTTTTAAAGTTGAGTAAAGCTTTAAATCTGAAGCTCTAATAGAGCAAGAGTTTTCACAAAGAGGAATAATTCTCACATGCTGGACTCTGAACTCCTCTCGTCCAAGCTCTGAAGATTTGTTCCTTTCAAAATTCTGGAGAAAAATCAGAAGTAGAAGCATTGGCATAAAGCATTTGTTCAGTTTGGGGCAAGAGATTATCACAGGTTTGCAGACAAGGGCCTGCAGCATTTACTGTAAAAGTCCACTCATGGCATCTGTAAGGATATAGAGAGCAATTAAAGCTTTCTTTCAGACTGCATTTGTGAGGCCCATGTTTGTTCTATAATATTTCCACCGCACATACTAAGAAGGCTAGAAAAGTTGATTCATTTCTCACAGCTCACAGAGATTCTCCAGGAAGCCAAAGATCCTTTTAAAAAAGGTCAGTTTTCTGCTTTCTGATCTATTAAACAGGCAACACTTTTTTTTAGGTAGAAAAACAAAAGATAGCTCATTAAATTTGTTTTCTATTGAACAGCTAAGCTGGGGGAAAATATTTTCTAGGGCTCACATCATTGCAAAGGAAATATAAGTCAAGATCAATTCTAATAATCACAGAGGAGTAAGTTACTTTACAAATAGCATGTTGAAGGCAATGCAACTACTTACGTTAAGTTTGATATGTGCAACGGCTCATAGACCCCGAAAGTTTATTTATATAGATATATACTATTTATAACCAAGCTTTTTATTTTATTTATTTAGCCTGAATAAGGGACAAACTGATGTTTTAAGGCTTCTGGGTGTTGAGGGAGTTGTTTGTTTAGAAGAAGGTTTGGTTATTTAGTGGAAAAACCCTGTAAACTGAACCAGTCAGTACTGGTTCAGAGGAGGTGGGCTGTGATCAGCGCGGGTGATAAGTGAGGACAGTTAGACCACAGCCCGTCCTGTCAGCTACCACAGTATGCTTCTAAACCGTGCTTGGTAATGGAAATACAGAATGATAAAAACCACATGCCTAAATTACATGTAAAAAAATACAGTGAAACTTACTCTTCGCTGTGCAGGTTGGTCTAATTGCATGCTTGGGGTATCATAACACATAAGTGCTACATCTACTGCAAAAAAATAGGTGCTCAAGGAGTTCTGCAGGACTCGTGTTCCTATTTATCATAAATGCATGCCATAGTTATTCGCAAACTTCTGTCATCGAGAGCTGGTTAACACTTGAAAGAAGTCTTCTCAAATACACATCTGGCACCAACTGATTGATTTTTTTCATTTAGTTTTATCAGTGATTTCAGGCTTCCACAAGTAGGAGCATTACAGCTGCTCTATTTTTGTCACAGAATTGCAAGTATTAGTGCAAATACTAGGAAAATAGCTACAGAATCTGGTGTTTCTAATGAAAACGATGACAGAATGTGATGAACTTTTGTGTGTCAAGGCACAAAGGAGTAATTTGCACAAATGCATTTCTTTGCAGAGAGGGATCTGAAATGTATTCTTTGTCTTGCTAGGATCCTTCTGCGTCCTACACTGTGCAACAACATACATGCTTAAGAACACTGATTTTTCAACTATCAAAATACCCTAAAATAGGTGATATGGAAAGCTACCCACAGATTCCATTCCCAGAGAGTTATAAAGGAGACAGATTTGCATAACTAGATAACGACAGTCTGACAACAGTTGACTTCTGTTAAAAATTTGTTGGTAAAGAAACTTCAGTAAAGGGATATTCAATCTGAGATTCTGAAACAGCTGAGGCACCAGCACATAGCATAAAAAGTGCTGAGGAATTAAAAAAAAAAAAATCTCAGGATGAGAGTCTTAGAATATTTGAAGAGACAAACAGATAGAACAAGTAAGGTTCCCATAATAAAAGAGGCTTTGATCCAACTTTTTTTCAAAATCTCAACTTACTGCAGCAGCTGATTACCATTTGCTCAGCTATATTCACATAGACAGCTGAAAACAATTCAGTTTTCAGCAGCTATGCTGCTTGATATGACTGACAACTTTGACTTCAGTAAGAGATACTCCAGTCTCTTACAGTAAGGAGAAGGGGGAAAACACACCAGGAAGAGACTTGCTACTGAGTTCTGCAAAGCTGAAAACACCATTAAAGAGTTGAAGGAAAACACGTGCCAGAAAACTTCTGATGCAAAGAGTGACATCTTATTATTTGCTGTTTTCTGTATTAGTGAAGATATTACAGAAAGCCAGTTTCTAGCAATACTTAACTGTTACAGTTAAATCAGGGAATACAAGACTACAGGAAATAGTGAAAGGATGTGAGTAGTTCTGCTGTTAACAAGACTTACATTTTCCCTTTACCATAAAGGGACATTTGCATTTGCAAAGGCTCACTTACTCCAGTCTCCTCCTCAAACCTGAGTAATGTCCACACCAGCACAGGATATGTCACTAAGTTACTGCAGAAGAAGCTCCTTGCATCCTTTTGATACTGCAAACACAACAGGCAAAGAAATAACAGGTCACTAGCACTAAGATGGCATCCCTACAGACAGCCAAATCTAGGCAAACCAAAAACAGTGCAGAATCTCCATTCCCCAGTCAGAAATAAAGGAGTGGTGCAAGCTGATCTGCAGCTGAACTAGCAGAATATCAGAACACATCACCCAGGTTTTAACAACATTTTTATTTTAGAAAGTGAACATATCCATTAAACAAAAGAAAACGCATGGAGTTAAAAAAAAGTAAACATGAGACTAGTGACAAACTTATAACAACATAAAATAATATTACCTAGTGAGTCCCAATAATCATTAAATATACTTCTGCCATAGAGAAGTTTTACTTCATTATATTATCAGTCTTTGGATTAGGTACACAAGACAATACTTTCCAGTAATTACCTAGTCATTAGAAGATCAACTTCAAGAATCACTGAATACATCATGGACAAATAGTTTCATACCACCTGTGAGGCAACCTAATATACATATGTGAATAAGGTACACGTTGCTGAGGTATTACAGTACACGGGAACCGTTCCCTTTGTTTTCAAATAAACATATTCTCCTGTTAGCAGCTATACCAGCAAGTCAGCCATGGTCTCTGTTGTCACAGTTTCTGAATCCCAACAACTTCTCTCGGAAATTTTATTTCTGTAACAGACCACATAAGGCAGGGTGAATGAAGAGTGTGTGGCAAGACAAGAGAAACCAGTAACAGGGAGGATGAAAAGAAAAGCGCATCTGCTATTCCAAGTGAGCAACAAAACATTTCAAAACAGAAACTCTTGCTTCAAGAAGATTTATTCCTCCATCGCTTGAAATACCATAATCATCTCTAGCAAAGTTGAACGCATGGGGAAAGACAATTCCAAAAGAAAATAATTACTGGAACAAGGAAGTTATCTGTTATATATAAGGAAAAAGGCAGCCCCAAAATGCTAAGATGCACAGCTAGAATGCAACACTTTTGTGACATTATACAGGAAGGGGAGAAAGGGAAATATCAAAGTGGTTTTGTCCATTCAGTCTTCAAGATGGGTAAATTTGTCCTAGACCTCAACTTAGTACTCTTGCATTCCTAGCTCCAGAGGAATTTCTCTTTCCCGTTCCAAAAAGGAGTTTTTACACTCCTCATCCATCACTGTTCTTCCAGGATGGCCAGTGAAGAAATGCTGGAGGTGTTTCACCCCGAGCCCTCAGCCTTTCACACTGCACTCCACAACAGCTATTTCGGACCCCTGCTCAGCTGCCACCAGCCTCTTGCCTGGGTTAACCAGCATTCAAGGGCCAAAGAGCCCAACTACAGGCTCTCAGCCAAATACCTGCCTGGTAGGATTTCCTGCTTGAACTGCTTGCTAGGAAAGACAGACTGGGTTTCAAGATGAACTCCAGAAAATTATCCCACCATCGAAATTATTTGAGAAGAAGCTAAGAAGAAAAAGAAATACTTTTAGGAAAATTCAGGTTCTGTGCAAAGGTACTTGCCTGCTTTCTCTCATTTGCTATACAACTGGTTTTTCACTGTCCTGTTTTTCTTCAGATTCCTCATCTGATCCTAAATAGGAAGAAAGAAATGTTATTAGCTAGTTTAAAGGAAAAAAAAAACTAAAAATGCCCACCACTGAAATTGGCTTATCAAAAGGCACTTCAAAGCAAGCATTTCCCTTAAAAACACTTCCTTTTACGTTTTGAGTACTTATCTGGTTGTCAGACTTGCCACCCTGAAGGCTTTTTGCAGTTATCTAAACCAAGCAACAGCCCTGATATACCTGGCCTGCCAATGGATTCAGTTAGCAGGTGCTTCAATCCTGCATTACAACATAGTCAGGACAAACAAGTGCATACTTGTTCACTGCAAAACAGATTTTCTCCCTTGCTCTAGCCTACACTTTGGAAGGCATATGGTGAAGACGTTTCCAAAGTAGTAAGTAATGCTGCTCTATAATCACTGCTGTTACTAGACCCCGGCAAGAAGTCTTCTCTAAACCACACATCCAGCATCTCCCTCTGCCCGTCCATTACCGCTTGGCATCGTCTTCTGCTCTTCTTGGCCTCAGTTTTTTGTTTTCACAGTCAAAGGGCTGCAAAGCCCAAAGCAAAACGCTGAGTTCGTCCCAGGGCTGGCCACAATCTGATACTAAGCAAAGTCGGGTGAGCACCTCCGACCTGCACTTCTGGAGCCCCAATCCAAGGCACACATGTTCCCATACACATCTGAGGCAGCAGTCAGCAGTATCTGGGTCTACTGAGAAAATTTCCAGCCCACGTATTTTTATATACTTGTTTTGGGCAGCTTAAATGAGACTCCCACAGGAAAGGAAACGAGAAGAAGGAATAGTTTTTGACAAAATTCCTGGGAAGTGTTGGCTGAATTATGGACTCATCTTCCTTCTCACAAAGGAGCAAAAAATAAAAGACAAAGGGCTTAAGCTTCTCTTTTTGCCAAATTACTCAACCTAAGTCCTTTCATTTTCCTGGAACAGTATAACTGCCGTTCATTTTGAGGCTGAAATACTTGAAGAACTGTAGAAATTAACTGTTTCCAGGCTGATTTTGCATCTGATACGACCACAACGGCTATGCAGCAGCCAAGCCTGATATTGAAGACGAAGGTTCAACACATGTAAACCAGTAGAACAAGAAGGTTATGTCCTTGTATACACTTGTCTTCAAGAGAAACATTAAAACATAAATATACTGCAAATACCCACAGCGCCTGTTTTTACTGTGACCTCCTGAAAGTTAGTGTTTGCTTTTAGACATTTCACCATGTCAGTAGAGGCAGTTACTTAGCTTGTACGATCATAAGGAATAGTCTATCTCTAAAACTTTTTCCTATCAATATATAAGGTGAAATGACTAATAATTGCTGTCTTACAGCAATCCATGTTATCTGAACATGTACAGAATTTTGAAGTAAATATTTTTAATTGTGAGCTATTTTTAATGTACATCTCTGCTAGTTTTCAGAACAGTTCAATGTTTTAGTTCAAATATTTGTATTTGACATACCCATAAAAAGGGTGCTTAAACCAACATAATTTACTTGGCATTGTGGGCAGACTAAGAAAAGGCACGTGAGCTATTACTGAGGTGCCAGAGAGCGGTGGCAACTCCTTAAGCTCAAAGCAATGGCAGTGTCATATGCCTGTAGTCACCACTTGCAATCTGAGGCACAGCAGCTGACTGCACATGCACCATTAAGCAAGTCAAACTGCCAAGACAAACACGTCAGCTCAACTCATGCTTCCTCTCACACTGTGTATTTTACTGTCAAAAAAACCCAGTGTGAATCCAGCATAATCCTTTGACAATATTCCTCAAGACGTCCTGACAGGCAAAACAGATCAGCAAGCATTTCTTATACATTTAACTAAAATATATATTCAGTTTGAGTCATTAATTTTTTCAGTCTACATTACACCCAGAGACTGTGCCGCTGCATAAAGTTTTAACAATTGGTAACTTTACCTAGAAGCACAGCAATGTTCCCTGACATACAGTGTGCTGGTACAGCACAGCATTATACTTGACATTGTCTTAATCCTTTGTCATCCCTAGATGGAGCTGTAGGCCATTTATTACACAAAGACAAGCAGGAATTATATAAAGGCAGCTGTCAAGCTGTGAAAGGTATCACCAGCAGTTATAGCTTTATAATGCAAGAAGGCAAAGACAGCTGTAAGCATTTAGTAGATATTCAGATTTTAATTCTACTACATGATAAAGCACAAGTTTAGAACAGGCACTTACATTTTAGTATGAGGAGACTGGCATGGGATTTTGGGGTTCACACTGGGTCCTCAAATAAGTCAAACTGAAATCCATCCACTCAACCCATGAAGAAATTACCTATTTTATCAAAATATCTGCAAATAAATTCTTAAACCTTGCAATATTTCAATTTATTTTTGGGTTTACTCACCTCTTCCCTCAATTGGAATCAAGTGAACTATACACAGTTAAGGTATAACTAATACTTGTCCTCAAAAAATTTAACATACACACAGCTAACAACAACTTTTTTTTTTTTTTTTTTTAACTAGAGAGAGAGAGAGAGAGAGAGTTTTTTTGCTGTCATGAGAACGGAAAAAAGCCTTTGACTGGCATTTCAATTTGTTTTAAACCAGTTTTCTTTCAGGTTCACTGACTGTCCTACAATGTGGCATAGTTCCAAGCTTAGGCTGGAATAAATAGTGGCAGTTCTGCATAAACACCATTGCTAGCAGGATAGAGGGGCAGAAGCAAACAAACAATAACCATCCCTTTCAGGTGCAGTACGAATTTATGTCATACTGTCTGTATCTCAAAGCCAGAACTGACTTTATCCTTTGAAAAGCCTTAACGGCTTCTGAACAATATACTTAACTAGATGCAAGTTGGATATGAACTTTAGACGTTTTCTCCTAAAAATGGAAAGGGACTCAGAGATGATTGTGTAAAACTGATGCAGTGTATTTAGGTTATCTTTATGTTAGATTATTTATAACCATTAAGATTATTTATAGCAATGTATAAATTAGTTTTAAAATGCTGTTTTCTATATTACTCTTGAGAGACCTTAGCTGGAAATGGATGGAAAAAAATCTGAAGCAATCAAGTTCATGCATTTAACAGGTTATCTGCCTGTCATCTGGACTCTGGTAACTGATCATGTAATCTTAATCTGACCTGGCTGTGAATTAAAGCACCACTGATGATGATTTAATCCAGTAGATTTTATATCACCTTTGGGCCCCACCAAGTGTATTGTGATTCACTAATAGGTTGTAACTTGAACTCAATCATTTTATAAAAGGATCCCTTATTTTAGGATTGTAACGTACACTTCTCATTTCAAAAGGAAAATACACTCTTTTCCATTTTCACCCTGCCATTATACTCTAAAGGGGGAAAATATGCAAAAGTTTAATGCCTACAAGAAAAAGCTTTCATTATGCAAACATAACTACCTGCTACAGATTCAGGAGGAGAATAGAACTGCCCATCAGAGAGGGCTCCTGGGTGAAGAAGAGCTGCTCGCTCAGAGGCATCCTGTGCTATCAACAATCCTAAAAGAAAAAAAAAAAGCAAAATAGGCTATTACTTATTCATACTCATTAAGATACTCATAGTATCTTAAATAACAAGTCACAGTAAAGTTTAATTAATATATATTAGCATTCCAGACAAGTTTTCTCTGAGCTATTTTTAATAGCAGTAAACAAATTATTAATCTAACACTAAAGGCTTCCATATAGCTTCAGTAAGATAAAGAGGGACACTTCAGCCAAACAGAGGTACTGTATACGTGAGCAAAAGAATCCTTCCTCCTACTATATGAAATTTCATGGTTAGGATGCCATATGCAAATTCACTAATATAACCAGAAGTCTGAAAAACATTTTTAATGCTAGGTGAGCTGCCAAATCAATATAATCAAATAAATATATTTTCTCACTTTGGCTCCTCATTAGGAGGCAAAGTACACTCCCCATTAACAGCTTGCTTTCTTTTAACCTGTCTCAACAGGCTCAGCTTCACCTAAAATCAGGAAAAAGCAACAAATTAAGCAGTATTCTGATGGATATAATAGAGGAAAAAGAAAGAAAGAAAATAAGGGGAGCTGGGGAAGAAGGCAACTCATCTCACCCTTACTGCCATCAACCGGTCTCCTGGTAACTAGTAGGGTAAAGACGGCATTTTAGGTCAATGTATAAGACTATCAAACTTCCATCCTTTACTCTCTGCCACATGAAGATTGACAGGAAAAAAAACCTTGATGTTTTATTGAAAAAGGAGAGCTACCTGAGGTAGCCAGCAATTATAAAAATCCAAACTTTTTTCCAACTCAAACTACTATTTCTAGTTATGAATTTATCGTATTAATCAGTTATGTAAGGTAACAGCCAGAAGACGATAAATATCAGTGATAAGACAGCAAATGGAAATGACTATAAGTAAAAACCACTAGGCATGAAAACTGGATGTATAACCCGCAAAAATTAAGCAGTACTGTAAAAATAAGCATTACGTGTATGAATGTCCTTCTCTGTGACCTGTTCACAGTGTCCAAAGGAGACTTCTATATTTCCACTCTGTCCAAAAGAGGAAGGTCGTTCTCTATGAGTCACATACACTTACACAACTATAAGATGGAAGAGAGTCACATTTCCACTCCTACTAAAGATATGAGCGAAATGTACCTGGTCAAAACAAAAAACAACTATGATCCATCTTCCCTGTCCGCCTCAAACTACCTTAAGAGCAAGTAAGGCACCACAGAAGTACCTACGAATAAGAAGTACCACACAACACAATCCAAACATGCCTATTTTTTTGTCTGACTTAATTGCTTTAAAATTGCATTTAAAAACAGGGAAACCCTGCCTTCTTTTTGGAACACAGAGTTCAAATACAAAGCACATAGCATTTATTTAGAAATACAGCCTAAGTTATAACCATCTGTTTCAAGCTTAGTAGGAATTAAAAAAATCAAGTCCCACATGGATTTACCAATAATATCTGACTAATATCTGAATTTATTAATATTATTTTTATAAATTATTTGATGTGTATGTGTCAAATCTTTTCTTAGTCCATGAACTGTATAAAATATGCAAACATTCCTGAACTGGTTAGGTTTCTTGTCTACCAAGATGAAGTAGGATGAAGCTGCATTTCCCCACAGGAGAAAGAGGGAATAGGGAAGAACAGGGAAAGAATGAAGAGAAAGAAAAGAAGGGGAGAAGGGGTGAAGGGCAAAAAAAGAAAGGGAGAGGGGTACACTAACTTTTCCTTTCTTTAGGCAAAAACCTAACATCTTTAAGAAACTTTTTTCTGCAAGTGGGGGGAAAGTGGAGCGAAGAGGACAAAGTAGAAAGACTATACATTTCAAAGCACCAAGAACTGGAGACATCCGTGCCCATTTCAAGCTTTTGTTTTTAACCTAACAGGCAAAACATTTCTTGGAACAGTTTCAGACAGTATTTCTAAAAGTGATGCACAAACAAAAGGTTTTCTATACAATTACCCTCCTACTGTTGAAACTAGACAGAACATCTCTAGCAGAAATCTAAGCTTTCGTTCTCTCACCACCCAAGTAACGTTCTCTTTCGCTAAATCAATGAGTTTTCTCTATTTACTTCAATGCATTCCTATTATCAGACGACCTGCTGCCTCATCTTGAAGATGCTGAAATTCATACTTGCACTGGTCTCATTCTGTGCATGAAGGAGACTCTCTACAATACTTCTTTGCTTTCCCTTTCGGACCTCAAAAGAAGACTTAGTGACACAGAGTTAGTTATTGTGTCTATTCTTCTTAGAAGAGGAGCCAGTAACTTCTTCTGTATATTATCCACAAAATAAAATCCTGCAAGCCAGTTAAATTTACACTTTAATACACACTTCAAGCATACAAAATTAGATATGCTCCTGAGTGCTTGACAAATTACTGATTCGGTTCTCGTAACTTTTAACTTGGCCTCGCTAAATAAATTAAACTCCGCTTCTTCAAAGGCATATACACTCCTTTCAGGAAAAAGAAAAATATACCATACGATGAATTTTTCTGCAGCTCTTCAGAGTTCCTATGCAACTAAAAGAAGCATTCTTTTGCCATATAGTATGGGATTGAATGTAGCCAATTGCAGTGACTGAGGGGAATAACAAAAGCTTACTGTTTTCTTCTTCCGCTTCTTGTGGTAACACTTTAAAGTCCAAGAACCAGGTTTCAATCCAGGCAAGTATGAAAGATATGATGGGGAGCACATAGCCAAAAGCACCCTGTGAGAACAGCTTGAAGGAAACAAAACCACACATTACAGAAATTGTCTTCAAGAATCGTGCTTCTTCAAGAAGCAAAAACAAACAAACAAACATTTGATTAAAATATATACCTGTGAAATAATTACTTTTGCTAATAAAAAGGCACTGGTCACTGCTGTTGTAAACTGAAAGAGACAGGGTAAGAACAGTTAAGACTAATAACTGGATTTTCTTTCTTATTTCTGCAATTACATAGCAGTTGCAGCTTTTAAAATATTTACAAACAGCAAGATCAACAAAACATATCAAGTATAATTAAATTTATTAACATAACCTCTTTAATACGGACATCTCCAAATGCTTATTTCCATTCAGCAGACAGTTTAGATGCTGCGCAAATACCGAGTTGTATAAATTGTGATCTTACTGTATAATGAAGTTGCAATATTTTATTCACCTACTCCCCTAAAGAAGATATCTATTTGAAAAAAAGCAAACAGCTAGTATTCCAAATGCTTTTCGTTACTATTCACATCAAAGCAGTCATTTCAAATAACAAAGCATCTCTGCATGAGAAACCCTGAATTAGTACTGTAATTTACCCTCTCATGTTGTGAAAAATAAGTAATTTTTGCTGAAGACTTAATATTCCTATTTCCTATTTGACAAAGGGGAAGTGAGATAAAAAACAGACCTTGTGTCTGTAGAAAAAGGCAGTGGGCAACTAGTGTGCACTCAAGCAAAGCTTCTAACTATAACAGTGCATTTGGGACCAATAATTCTTTAAATAATAGCAAAATATAACAAGCTTCTTTTAAGCACAAATGGGATTTCAAGCTTAATCACTTCTGCACAACCTTCAGTGAAGCTTTATATGCCTACTGATTACCAACACAATGGGCCAGCCCTCACCAACTCCTAACCAAACTGCATCAAGCTAGAGGATGCCACTGGAAGAAATACTCTAAAGCTACCCAAATACGAGTAAGGGGTTTTGAGAGGCATGCACCTCGAAATAAAAATCCCAGCACAATCACTACTATGTATATGCCTGTGTGTCATGCTAATAACACAACTTCAAAAAATCATGACAGGCAATCTCAGACTACTAAACAAATTGCATGCTACTCAGTTGAAGAAAGTTATACACGAACATACTCTACATGCATCTACCATAACGTAAGGAAAAAATCCCTAAGATTTACAGTATACTGAGACAGTACTATGCATTTCACATTGCAAGCTGCAGTATTAACTTTTACACAAACACATGGACGGAAGCATGAGTTTGTCATTAGGCAGTCTTGCATTCTTTCTCATCCACACAGCACAGCTGCATTAAAGACATTTGTTCCAACTCACTGAAAGAAATATCACTGGCTATAGTTCTCAAAAACTTCCTTTCTAAGGGATGCAGAGACTACATTTTGCCTCAGAACAAGCAGCAATACAAGCTCAATGGCTGGTATCCAAAACTCTCTACAAAGCTAAGAATTTGAGAGTTAACACATAACTGGATATCTGGCACAATAATGAAAATTCCTCTTCTTTTTGGAATACAGTTCCTTACTCCCAGTGAACGTATATTGGAAACCTCAGTTAAGAAGTCAGAGGCAACAAGGGGTTAGGCATACATACTGGATTCAAAATAAGTCTTTAATTTGTATTGACATAATGTTAAGTAAGGATCACACCCACTGTGCTAGTATTCTTGTCTTTAAGCTGAAAATCTTCCAGAACAGAAGTCTATAAATCTGCTACTACTTATCGTATAGTGATTTTTTATATATAGCATCAAGACGATTCTTAACATACAAACGTTAAGAGGCATCCAAAATTTGTTTAAGTTTGACCCATTCTAGTTAAAACTCCATTATGCTTGGCTACTACTCACAGCTATTGCCCACCAATGGCGCAGTCTGCACATTGCATATGCAAGTATTAACACCTTAAATCGAAAGACTGCCAGTAGCTATAGAGAAAGGAAAAAAATATTCGTTGGTTAATTCAGAACACAGAAGAACCACAAGATTCTCAGCTCACTGAAAATACTAACTGCTTATAAAACAACTTAGAACAGGAGAAACCAAGCTCTCTTATTAGGAAACGAGTTTGAAGTGGATTTGCTTATTACGATACAAATAGCATATCATTTCCCATTTTCAAAGCACACAGTTGATGGCACCACTTATGTGCTTACTTGGCATCAAATATGCAAGCATGTGCAATTCCACAAATGTAAGTTAGAAATAGATAACATGATCATAAAGATACTTCATGAAATTTTCTTATAACTGGAATATAAGCAGTTAAATCTAGAAACAGTTAATCCAGCAAATACTTCTAAGTGTCATTGTACATCTCACTAACCTTTTTAGTGTGCTACCATGCAAGAATACCATTACAAACTTCAAAAATGCATGAAGAGAATAAAAAAACCCAAAATTTACTCATTAAATTTAAAATATTTACTGAAACATCAACATTGCAAATACCAATTATTCTTCACAGAGATGCCTGCGGTTGTTTTATTTTATTACTGCACCTCTAAAAAACAGCCCTACTTTTTCACAGGTAAGCAAGTACTTAGGCATAGCTAAGAAGCAAGCCATTCCAAACATTTTGCAGTGGAAGAAGGTGAACTATGGGACTTGCTCTAGGCCAGAGAATGAATCAATAGCAACAGCCAGATCAGATTTCTGGATCAGGGACCCTAATCCTCTGTTTCTCTGCGTGTTCCTTAATTTTAGACTGCCTCTAACTTATTTTAAAAGATATGCTTGCAATCTATAAAACATAAAACAAACACTTGAAACTGAAGAGAGCAGTCTTTCATTTGGAGGAAAAAAAAAAAAAAAAAAAAAAAAAAAAAAACGCGCACACACACACAAGGACAGAAATGGCCAAGGGTACAATGAACCCATTTGATATTATGCAAATATGTGTTTTGGACATTTGTACCAGAAACAGAAGAATTCTGCAAATGATTTGTGAGCTCATACAGGATTTCAATGACCTAGCTCCTTCCCATGGAATAAAAGTATATTATTTGACATGAGATGTTTTTAACCCTTTGTTCAACTACAGGCACAACATTTGCCAGTGAATCCAAATGAACAACAAAACTTTTTGCTTCTGCAGTAAGATACGCCATGGAAAAACTGCCAGCAAAATAATGGGAGATAAAGGGAGAAGCAACATAGTTTGCTAGCTTATAAATCTTTCATATCCAATGTCTCATTCCATTTGACACAGTAAATGGTCCAATGCAGAAGGAAGATTAGATTTTTACATCAGTTTCAAAGAGATAATCTCAATACGGTCATTAGCATAAAATGACTTATATCAAAACAACTCATCTCTGCAGGGCAAGCAAGACCTAGTAGAATTAATGGTCATGCAAAAAGATGGGGCCATTTACAAGATCTGCAGATAAAGAAACAAGTTCTGCTTGGAGATCAATAACTCAACAGTCCCTAATGTACAAAACGCACTGCAAACAGAGCTACAGCCTAGCTGAAAGACAGAAAAAAAAAAAGCAGCTGCTTCCTAAAGCAGCAGAGCTCCTTCCATGTCCCTAAGGCCCTTGTGCATAGCAAAGGAGAATCATACTTCTCGTTATCCCTTTTTTAGTGCAAAGTTAAAAATCACTTTCAGTTAAAAAACAGGAATCTGGTGGGGGGAGAACTAACTATACAGGTCAAACTGGGAACAAGTCTCGCCTCGTTATGAGGGACTGTTTCTGTGGAAGAATAAAAGTGTCAATTTAAATAAAATGTTTTTACAGCTGGAGGACTACCGGTCTTTTCCTCCCCTTAATGAGTTATCTCTATGTTAATTAGACTCTCATTCTTGACAGAGTTTTTTTATCCTTTTCCTCTCAAAGTAGGAGATCCAATTTAAGTGTGCCTAAGCATCTCTACCAACAGGCTCCATGAGCACTTGCAGTTAAAGCAGGGATGGGCAACCCCAAAACAGGTGAAATTTGGCACAATTTCTTCTGCTTTAAATTATCAAGAAAAGACCAACCCTTTCACAGGACTCAAACTGGGGCATAACTGGGGAAGGAGGAAAGTGGGAAGACTATATTCTAGCCCCCTCCCTCCTTTTTAAAGAACACTTACAAATATATCAAAATATGAAGAAGAGTAGTCATATTGCAGGACTTCTTTCTCTAAAGTAGTCTCAATGCCTCCTTTTACCTACAAAGGAACAAATACACACAACCGCTCTAGAACAGAACTACTGACGCAAGAATATTCACACATTTGAAGGGCAAAATGAATAGTTCCCCACTGATGTACAAAAACAACATGAAATTAAGTACAGAGGACAAACATGCTAAGTGTCAACATCAAAGCTGTCATATTCATTTATTCAAAAAAATATTCACAGAAATTCTGGTGGCAGTTCTGAAGTCCTGCTAGTTATTTATCAGTGAAGGACAGGCATAATGCAATATTATGACTTCCCTATGAAGAAAATTTAAACAACACCCAAAAACCAAAACCAACCAACCACAAAAATATTCAAACAACATGTCAATCTTAGATATCATATGATATGGTACTCATGATACCATGACTTACGAAGGCAAAAACTGTTTTTTCATTCTTCCTTACTTCTGGCATTATAGGACTTGGAGTAATAACTGTTCTTTAAAATGAAGTTTTTCACAAACAGAAAACTACTAGCTCCTGGCATCTTGAGGTCCCTTAACGCTGCAACATTCAAAATAAAACTTCAGGAGTCGGTAATACTTTTTACGTGGAGTCTTAATTAAAGATATCAAGAGAACTAATGTGAAAGCCTGTGTGCCGAATCAAGAGATATACAACCAGATTCTGCTCCTCTTAGTCAAATAAGCTGTTGAGAAACTGGCCTAAAAGTACATCAGAATGCTATGCTTCATAGGGTCAGATCAATAGCTAAGGTTAGTTATCTTGTAAAGGAATGCTGACAAAAAAAAAAAAAAAAAAAAAAAAAAAAAAACGTTTACTCAAGATCTTTATTAGCCAAGAAGGGGATTCCTCCTATTTTTCCTTTGTATCCTTTTTAAAATACGTACTTCTGACTATAGTTTAAAACCTAGCTCAAGAACTAGATGTTACTGATCAACTAATAACAAATAAACCATCCTGTTGTTTTTTGGAAATTTAATGAGAACAAAAATTGTCTTGTTTTATGAATTACAAATGCTAGATTTAAAAGAACGGTAGTAACTGTGGGAGTTTATGTTGTCGTTCAAATGCACCCTGCCATAAACAATGTATGTTATATTAAGTTTGGCTTTACAAAAACACATCACTGCAAAAGTAAAGTTCTGGCCATTTTAAGTTTTTACAAGGTCTAACACCTAAATGAAATCAAAGACTTTTTGAGCTACTGAGAAGGTGGTAAACTCTTGAATCTTCTTAAAATTCACATTTCTTACCAACTTTAAATAAGTTCAATAATGCTTTTCTGTCTACAGGAATGTCAAAGGATTTAATGATATGAATAAAATAAGGCACGTATCCAGTGATTAAACGTATGTGCAGGTAAAGAGCTATTGTGTTCACAAAAGCTAAACAACAAGAAGCTACTTTAGTTTAAATGAAGATATAAATAGCATACTTTGGCAAAGAAAACAACAACTTATTAACCATTTCTGAAATGAATTACCCAATAAATAAAGTCCAACAACACTGAAAAAACAACTCACATTTAACTCTATTATCCACAGCAAGGTTACGAATAAGAGATCAAATGTCACAAACAAACAGAAAGTCCTTCTGACATCTGAAATGCCTTTTTTTTCTCTTCCTTCATATGACTCAATTCTTGCCATCAGCTGTGCAGGGTTAATGGAATGGACATCCCGCAGGGAAGGACAGGATTCCACACTGCTACTGTGAGCATTTTCTGCAGGACCTGGCACCCGATTCATCCTGGGTTAGCTTAGGGCAGTCTTCTTCCTGTTTCACCATCACTAGAAGGCTGATCCATACAGGAAGAACTTCTTTAAAACAAAACAAACAAACAAAAAAACAACTCAAGACATTAGTCACCAAAAACTCCACTAAGGAATTTCATCTTACCACATCAGATTTCTTTCTGATAATCTGACAACTACGAGCATTTAGTAATTTACAATTTAGCAAAATTCTGAAAAACGTTTCTAAAATAAGACATTTCTATGGCTTCTTCACCTCTCAGAGGATGTGTGAAACAGGGAATTAATGTTCAATTAGACAGCTGGGAATGAGGGAGCACTGCCGAGATTTAGAAGGCTGCAATCCCCCTTTTGCTGGATTGAGCATTAAACAGGCATAAATAAAAGGCATGCATCTTTAAAGTTACCTATACTGATTTAAATGCTATTGGTAGTAAGCAAATTTAAAAGCGGTCCTACACAAAAAATGGCAGTGTTAGGTATCAGCATATCCAGCGCTATCACCTGTAAAGAGACCAGAAGTCCATTAAAATAACTGAATGCTGTAGTAATCATTCTTTAGGGTAAATACACTGACATTTAATCTATAGACAACCACAGCTTCTATGACAGCTTATATCGCCAGACTGGTTTGCGTGAAAAACTTTTTGCCACTCAGCAGAAAAAGGTAAAAGCGATAGCATTAAGTCTCTAGGGACTACAGGGCTTTTTAAAAATAGGTTAAATTTCTTATGAAACTTGAATAGTTTGGTATATGATTCACTATATTACTCCATGATAACTTTTTTCTAATTAACGCTTCTAGGAAGTGTTAACAAAGGAAGTCAGAAAAGTTTCAAGAAAACAAACAAAATCCAATTTTATGCAAATACTCAGAATATAAAGCTATATTTCCTGCAATATGAATCTCCTCACACAAGCTTCTGTAATGCTGGGAGCATAATTTTCTGCAAGTCAATAACAAACTTCATCTCTTCCTATGAGGACCCTCTTTGAGAAATGGCAAAATAGATAAAAACCTTTCTGAGTCTCTGGTTCCAAGTAACTACAATGTTTCAGATCCAACTGTTCAAAGATACAGAAAGCCAAAGCACAAGGGGAAAAACAGATGGGGATCTGTAACGCAACACCAGGCAAACATGGGGATATAGGGACATATGGGAGAAGGAAAGGTGGGGTAGGGAGTGGCCACAGCACACAGATCACAGCTCAGGAAAAGGAAGACAAGCCAGGGGTGACCAATGTTTAATTCAAGTCACATGCAAATTTCAGGTATTTCAAGTCAGCTCTTCTTCCGCTACGTCACAAGTACAGTAACAGACCTGTACCAAAACAGAAGCCACCTTGTCAGCCAAATTTCTGACTGAAGGGAATAAGCTACAGGAGGCAAACAAAGCCAGTACAAACAAGGCATTCTGGGATGTGGCTATGAGCCAAAGCAAGCTCACGACTATTAGCAGGCTACTATCATCCTGCTCCTGTCTGAGAATCAATTCCAGGCCTCTCCTGCCCTGGGTTTTCAAAACCAACCCATGGGATACCTTTTTTTAGTTCGCAATCATAAATCATAGGACTAGGAAGCTGATTGGCCCCCAAAGCAGGGCCAAACCTCTTTTCAAGAGGTTTCAGCACAGCACACAGTACCAGAGAGGTTAAGGAGTGGGAATATAAGGCAGAGATAACCAGTTTCATCATTAATAGGAGTGAACACATGCGCGAGAGAGAGAGAGAGAGAATGAATGATATTTTAGTCTACTCTCTCATTTCAGTATTTTTTTGAAGCAGATTAGAACTGAGCATCTTCATTACATCTCACAGTCACTCTCATGCTGGGAGAGGTGGGAGGAGGTGTCAGAATTTGCCCAGTAAGTACAATCTCAACTGCAATACATGCTCCCTCCTCTGTGTCATATACAAATTATAGTTTATAAACACTGTTAGGCAAGTGGTCAAACTTTGAAGTTAAAGAGAACCTGCATCAGAACCTTCAACCACAAAACAAGAAAGCATACTCATTAAAGTAATGAAAGGAAGTTTTTACTTTAAGTACCAGAATGTGGAATTATTTCACATTAAGAATTCTGAAGAACCTGCTTCTCCCTGACTGTATTCACACACATTTTCAATCAGAAACTCCTTTTACTTCCTTCTCTATTTCTGTTTCAAATATCAGACACTAAACCTTCTTTTATACATCACATTAATCCTTTAGTTTGATAATAAACACATGTTATCCAAAATGACTACTCAAAACAAAGCATATCATCTAATCATTCACTTCTACACATGGAAATATTTCAGAACAGTATACAAAAAAGTTGAGAAAAAACAAGGTTATACTCTAATATCTTCTAGTAATTATTCAAGTTTGTACTCTCTACCTAAAGATTTGTTGCTCCTTAAAGAAAAGGCATAATTTTGAAAAGCAAATAAAAATTCCAAAAAACAGCTCTGCCATTTATTTTTTCTTCTCATGAACAGAAATAGTACCAGTTGTCATCAATTTCATTAGTAGCATCAGACTCACAATTTCATACCTATTATAAGCTCACTGGAACGTCAAACTATTTCACAAAGAAAAAAAATATTTTTTCTCCAAAAAAACAAATTAGTATATTTGTGGCATATTTCCTCTTCACTCCTTCTGACTCCAAGAGAAAGAAAAATAAGTTTTGGTTTTTTTGCTTAGTAACTGCAACATTCACTCGACTCCTAACACTAAGACATTTAACAGGTTATTCTAGAAAAAATGCATAGCTAAAAGTCATGTTCAAACAATTTTTTCCTCCAAGAGCGGGCAAACTTGAATTTATTTCATTTAAAACTAATTGTTATTGTTGTTGCTGTTGTTTTTTAAACACTTAGCAGTTATGGCCATAACTCAGGCTTTCAAAGAGAGAATTAGATTCCCCAACTTTTCCTAGAGAACTGAAGATTTTACTCTTATTAATAGTACTAACTAGTATAATGAGTGAAAACTAAAAGGAGTTTATTAAAAAATAGCAGGATCAGGACCGAAATCCTTCCCTGCCCTCATCTAACAAACTTTAGTAATATATGGAGAGAACTTACCCATGGTTATCAAGCTATATTTAAAATCAATAACATTTTTTCACTCAAACTGATGCAAGCAGATAAACATGTATCTTGGAGATATAAGATCAAGACTGTATTTCTCTTTCCTATCATTATACTATCCCTAGTCTTCCATTTTATCTTGCTTATTTTAATTTACTCGTGTTATGTTTATGTTAAGTTTATTATGTACGAGCACCAGCATAGTTTATTACTTTTTTCTTTCAAAGTAAAACACACATACAATAATTTAACCAAAGAGATACCAGATAGGATTAGCCGTGAAAAAGAATTACTTAATCAAAAGTTTACCAACAGCTCAGCAAAATTAAAAGTGAAAGGAGCATATGGACATTATATTAGGAAAAAGAAAACAAAACTTTATCTTAAAATATCAGAGAAACCGTATTTGCATAAAGATGAAAACAAAGTAATGCTGTGCCATGATTTCCGTTGAAACCTGTTAAAAAATACAGTATTTTACACAGTAAAATGTATGTATGTTATGACAAAAGTGCTTGCATTACTGCACGCACTCCCTATTAGTCTCCGGGAACACAATATGTGGTAGAGCATTTAAGTTGCAATGAAAGATAGTTTCAGATGATTTCAGCACACATTTGTATAACATAAAGCAACAATTATGTGTAGCATAACAAGCAACGCAATACCTACAGCTAAATGATCTTAAATTAGCAAATTCTGAGTCAGTAGCTTTTCCAAGGAGCAAGACCCTAGGGAGCATCCAATCCAAGATCCAGTGTGGGCAGTATCCACCACAGGTGACGAATGCCCTGCCACAGATCCTCCAGGATTTACTGATTCAGCACAGAAGACCACACCAGACTTGAGTCCACTAAATGTGCTCCACAAGCAACACAAAACCCTGGGGCCTGAGAACTGAAGTCTTACTCCATTTGCTCTCTCACTGTCACAAACTCCAACATTATTCCTTATATAGGCACAGTACACAAGTTGCTTTAGCCACCACCTTAGACAGGACATAATTGTAAAGACTGTTTTTGTACACTGCATATACAGAATATAATAAGCCAAGTATATATGGTAAAAATCCGTATTCTTTTTCAGGAGTATTAGCTTAATTCTCTCAACCTGTCTTTTGACAGTTCCAACATGAACCCAGATTAAGGGCCAAAAAAGGTGAGCCCAACTCCTCTGAAGATAACGTAACGCTCACTATAAATAAACAAAGTCCCAAAGAGCCTGAGACAGTCTCCAAAGCTTACCCAGACACATGTTGAAACTATTCTCTACTATAAATCAACCAAAAACGTTTTGCTGACAGTCTCTCTTCTTTTTATGTGAGTTAAAGAACTCATTTTCATGGTCAGCTTGTCATGAACATGTTACTAGTGACCTTCTGAAAGCCATTCCATTTCTCCCTTTTCTGAACAGTGCTTGTATCCTCTTCAAGCTGCACTCATTCTGTCTTTAAATCATGACATATCAGTGCCCCAGAAGCATTTAAAGGTTTCAGTACCCTTTTTAAAAATACTTTTCCACTAGTCTAAAGTAATCTGCTGTTCCTAACAAGTGTTCCTTAGAAAACATGGGGGAATATTTAAAAAAAAAAATACACATTTCGGGAAACGTACCACTTCAATTTTAAAGCTGATTCAGTTACTTTGTATTATAGCTTGATCTGTAAAGCAGAAAATTTAGAAAATGGAAGCATCTCCAGATGCAGTTCCATCTTGCAAATCTGGGTCTGAGCTAAGCACGAATGTACATTATAAAGCCCTTGAACTTAAACACCACTTTTCTGGAGACTGGTTGACTACGCCCTGCTCATTGACCTGAATAACATAAGCAGAATAAAAAGACAAACTCATAAAAAATCTCGCTGACATGGACTGGGCAGATAGTCACAGAAAACGGAGAGAAGAAAAACTCGATGCTTTGTGTAATCATAGAATCACAAAGGAAGGGACCTCCCTTGATTGGAATGGACCTCTGGATGTCATCTAGATCTAGTCCAATCTCCTGCTCAAAGCAGGACTAGGACAGACCTAGCATTAACAACAGATCAGCTGAGGCTGTGTTAAGCTGAGACTTGAAAACCTCTGACAGTTTCTCTGGGTAACCTGTTCCAGTACTGCACTCACATCCTACAGAAGGTGGTTTTCCTGTAGTTCAGCCCAAACTGCAATCTACAGGGTTGCCCCTTCTTATGCCACCCGCCACTACAGAGGAGAGTTTGGCTTCATCAGTCACTACTTTAAGACTCAAGTTCAGCCACGTGTATCAGTTTTCCAGAATCCAAGTATAAAAGAAAGCCATAAAAACAACATAAAATACACTTACCATACCAAAAACGTATCTAAAAATTATTTTAAAGCTCCCATTTCAACTTTCCCCAGACTTTTAGCATCTAACACTAGCTAACACCTGTTGGGAGGTCTTACTGACATAATTCTGATATTCCATGACACTCAAAGGCTTAAAGGATAACTTAAAGACACTTGCCCTTCATACAGTAGTAGCCTTTATGGTCATGAGAAGCTGCTTAATGAGGAATGTAGCATGTAGTTTATAACACTGCTTACTCCTTAACAAGTTACATCAGACACATAGCATCTGAATCCTCAGATAGATGAAACATGAAAAACATGTGATGCTGCAATTTCTCAAATTGAGCCAGCTTATTTGCTTTCCTATTAACTACTTCACAGTATATTTGGGAATTTTAAGACTACTCTGCTTCCTTCCTCCAGAGATATTTTTTATTCCAGTTAAAGCTTGTAAAGTTTATAAAAATATTTTGGTTTTACTACCTCTAGTTTTAAAATAGGAAGACACACATGGTTTAACTATATCAACAGGCACACCACAGTACTGGACTTGTCTATTCAAAACTAAAATCTGCTTAGTGACAGAGAACCACAAAATAGCCAAATGCAAGCTGAAAGAACAGTAGGTAACGCTTGGAAAGGAAACTAAAACAGGAAAGTTATATCATTTCAATTGACATGTGACATTCTAAGTAACATTCAGGTCATGTTATATCATCAAAAGGCCCAAAGAAAGAAACAAATCATTTACAGAGTTAAAACACGCTGCTTTAAACTAAAATCCAGTGGGTTGGTCTAGAGAGTGGGCAAGACTTAAAACTCACATCTGCATACTGCATCAAGAAGCCCAGGCTCTGAATAGCGAGACTGAATGGTATAAACCAACATGAAGGTACTGAGGACTACCCGAGGAACTCTTAATATGAAAAATGGTACCACAGATACCAGTTCCGGTAACTGTTCAATTCAGAGAAAGTCTTCCTCAAACAAAAAGTTTGTCTTTTGTTGTCCCTGACTTGCATAAAACTTTATTTCCTTTACATTTCACTTGTCTTGTGCGCTCCCTTCAGCACAATTCTCATGAAAATCCTGCAAACTATTGAAATATGCCGTCTTACTCAGGCTATATGATAGGGTAAGTCAGCTCCATTATGATCACTTGCATGTTCTCTTATTTCAAGAGAGATTTTGTCTAGTTATACCATTATTATATGGTTAGGGATATACCTTAACTTATAATCTGTCCTCTATACGCTGGGTTCCTACTATCTATTAACTAAAAAAGTGTTCCAGATACTGTTGTATTCTACAGGCATTAGACACTGTAATAAACAAAAATCAAAACTGATGCATGCCCATAAAATTCAAGGACAGAAGCACAAAATAGAGCGTATAAAACTTTGTTGGAAATACTCTGGATTTTCAATTAAGCAACGCAGCAGGACTTACAAGTTACAAATATACAATCCAGTTAAAGACTGGGAAGCCTTTGAGCTGCAAAGGCAGGACATCTTAGCATACAGGAGAGTTCCTCACAAAGAGTTTGGATTCTTCTGAAATTTCAGAACTAGAGCAGCTCTGCTTGACTTTGAAGTAGAAGTTCTTACTTAACCTTCAATTCAAAAGAATTTCTCATCCAACATACAAGATGAATACACACAATATACTTGAGGACAGCTTGCACAGCATACAAATTATACTTATTCTTACATTTACATTGCACATGTGGTTTCATCTCAATGAACCTTGAAGCAACTTATCACCAAGATTTTGAAATATATGCTACCAAGATGGCTAGATATCAAACAAAAACAAAGTAAGAAGATCTATTAAAATTGCCTTGCACAATTTTAATTGGAAAGTGAATGGAAACACTTCTCTATGCGTGTGTTAGCAGAGAGAAAACCAAGATGAAGTCAAATATTTGCTTTTGCTAATGATTAAATACTAAGTTATTTTGTTTTGCCTTATTTCCCATTATTTCTTTCATGTGGGATTTAAGTTTTATTTTCTATGAAGAGATTATGCAACTTAATCTTAGTCACGCCATTTACTTGATCAAGAACAGTATTTGAAAAATATGTAGATAACTTATCTGGTTTAAAAAACAAAAAAATTCCACCAACCGTTTTCTAGTTTCCTTGAGCCAGACTTTTCCCCAAATTGCTATGCTCTCGTGGCAGCCTAACAGAAGTAACTGTACAGTTACACAGCTCTCACAAACATGCTCCACAATATTTTTCTGAAAATACTGAAAGAAGGTGCTGAGAAGTGCAGGAGACAGTTTACAAGCTAAAAGGAGAAGGAAAAAAAAAGAAGTAAGAAGAAGAATGTCAATCTTTTGGGTCAGTGGGACATCTGAGGGAACAGCAATGTCATCCTTCCCCATCCCCAGAGAATCAGTCTTACAGATTCTGAAAGTCAAATCAAAGTGCTCCAATCTTGGACTAATTTTTCCCTGCAGCTGAAGAAGGCCTGCTAGCAAGCACGATGCTGCAGAACACCACTGTCCTTGACTAGCACTCCAATTCTTGCTCTAAGAGAGCTGAGAAAATGGCAGAGCAAACAGCTTGTAAACTCGGTATTTTCAATGCCTCATTTTTCTGCCTATTACCATTTTTACCTCTGGGTTCTTTTTCTTAACAGTGTCTCCCAACTTTTTCACTCTTAAAATGAGCAAGCATGGCTTTGTGCCTGCATATGAGCACGCTCAAACCAGATATGGCCAATGGACATGCAATAACAGTCCTTCAGATCTAAATCAAAAAGACTTTGGAAATACACTCCATGCTGGAATGCATGAGCGCCTTGAAAATACCTTCGCCAGAAATCACAAAATGTCTTAAGTATAGCTTTTGTTTAATAAAGAGTGTGATTTTAAATACGCAATCATAATCTATTTTAAGAAAAATACTAAAAACTGACATATAAAAAGGATGCATCATAATACATTCTGAAGCTGTGCCTTAGACAATGTCTTACTCAAAGCATTTAACCACTTCAAATTACAAAATTGAAATGCATGCATTTTATCACTGTTACTGTTAAGTCCGTAGAACACAAAGAATGAGTACTTTAGTTACTGAATTGATAATATATCATTCCATGTGAGACCAATGAACTCCACTTGACAATATTCAATTATTTAACTAAATACATCACCAAAACTAAGTTAGTAATGTTTTCTAATCTTGCCAAAGACCTGGAACTGTGTCACGATTTTAAGTTAAACACAATCAGCTCCCTACAGATGTTCAAGTGTAGCGTATAGTATTTATACATATTTTATATATACATACACGCATACGCCAGTAACATGCTGCAGGTAATTAAAAAAAAAAAAGTCATCGATTTCCTGGCAAAACAGGGAAGGAGGAAAAGTGGGCACAAAGACAATTAGAAAAGACAATTAGAAAAACCTCTGCCAAATCTTGTCTTAATCACGTCTTGTCTTCACAACTATTTCCTGCTCTCTGAAGTCGATTTTGTGGCCCATCCAACTTCAGCTCACAGAAATAAGGACCCCATTGCAAAATTTACTACATTAACCACTAAACACTAAGTAAAAAGAGTTCCTAATACACTTTGCTTGCCAGAGTTAAAACGACTGCAGGCCGAATAAACCTACTTTTCAGGTATCAGTAACAATTATATTTTAGTCACATCAGCATTCTTTTAGAGTTCAAGAGTTTTATTATTTAAAGAGACCAAACATCTTATTGATTATTTGAAATATCAAGCATAATATTGGTTTATTACATAAAACGCTGATGACTTTTTTGTTTGCCTTCTCTAGGTCAACAACATATGTCCAGGGCCGCTAGCCAGAAACTACCTGGAGAAGAAAAGCTCTTCTTTTGGTAGCACTGAACTTTGGGAATCTTCATTAAAGACTTCAGTCATTTTATTCTTAAGTATTTCTTAATGGGAAACCCTCAGGACCGCACCACCTACACACCTATTCCACAAAGTGGTGGAAAAGCTTTCTCCAGGCAAACTTGGTCCCTGGAAATTCTGTAGAGCTCTCAAGAAATACAGTATTTTAGAACCTGAAGCCCAATTAGAAAACACAAAGTAAGTTTTTCAAAGATTTTTCAATCTAATTCCTATTTTATAGCTCTTACAAGAGGCTTCCAAATAAAAGGAAAACATCAAGTTTTACATATTACCTCAAATTTTCTCCTTATAAGGCTTAAATGACATTGTAAGGAAACAATCAACCAGTCCAAGAAACAGTAAATTCTAGTACAGTCCCATATGTGAACCGTCAGTGTAAAACGCTTCTTCTACCACTCTTCCATATAACTAGTCTAGTTCTTCTGTCAGGGCTAGATACAAATTAAATCCTGATGTCCAAAGTGATGAGGTTTCAGGGCTTCAATTGATGTCTAGCTGATTTTAGCATGAGCGTGCACAGTCATTAAGAGGTATTTGTTTAGTTTCATAGACTTTTCCCCCGTGCATTTTTAATCTTATTCCTAACTGAAACTAACATAGTGAGGCAGACAGGTCACGTATATAAGTTCTCTCCTTTAACATGATTTTTAAGTAGGTACACTTAAATTAGAGAATATTCAACAAAAAAAATACATCTGCAATGCTTTATAGTGTCTTAGCTAAGCTGGTGGAAGCTGATAGCTAACCAGGTGAAAGCACGGTTCGCTATAGCCACAGCCCTAGTCCAAATGTACTAAGAACATCTAATCCACCTAAACTAAGAGTTAAATAATCCACAACTTTCAGTACTGTTAAGAAGGTCAAATATTCATTTTTCTGAATACCAAGCTTACTGAGAAACATTCATCCCCAAAATCTAACGTTCAAATAACACAGACAAATACTTCAAGTTAAGAATTTGTTCCATAAGACAGACCATTGATCCATTTTACCCTCAACACTGCCAAAACACCCTGTAGGCTGCATCTAGCCTATCTCATACATCAAAGCTGATGATTAAAACCTACTGAAAACAATTATATCCAGGAGCTTATAATAGAAACGAAAATGAAAGATATAGTCTTCTCGCAATGCTGGACTGAGCAAGAGTCTCCCAAAACAGAGGGGTTTTCAGAAGAAAATGATAGCACTCATCATCAACTAATGCTTAACACAATCCCGTATCACACAGTAAAAGTCAAGCTGACAAACATGCACGAAGACGTATCCTGCTAACGCTGTGCAGAAATACTGTGACGATCTTAGAGCTCTAAGCACACTAATATGCTTTTTTTAATCTTTCTTCAAGCTTACTACTGATGATGTATCTACTTACGGCTAACTATCATGAAACTGGGAACTGACTAAAAGTCACTATTATGAAACCAGCGTTACTGGATTAACAATATTTCTTTACAGATGGCTTTTTCATCAATGAGTAACTTTAATTGCAGGTAAGATCCAACTGCTACAAGGCTAATCGGTCATATCATTAGATATACTAGTCCAGCCCTTAAGAGACATGCAAAACATTACATTTCGACAATTAATAATGCCCTTGCAATTCAGATTAGATACTGAAATCAGGAACTCTCTCTCTCTCCATAACTGCCTGAATTCAGTCTGACATGGAAGTTAAACCCTATCGTAACAACTCCCTGTGACGGAAACTAGAGATTTGCCCACCCTAATCTGCTGGCGGGGTTATCAGCGAGACAAACAAGATGCTGTACTTCCACGAAGATGCGCTTGCTGAAGCCGCACCTCGGGAGGGAAAATAAAAAGCACGTAAGTAAACAAATGGATAGACAGATGACTAAATGAAGAGATCCTCCGGCTTTCGAAGCCCACAGCCAAAACGAACCGTGGCCCGCGTGGGACGTGACCTCCTTCCCCCGCCCCGCA